GAAAATGCTAAAAGCATGGATTAAAGCAAAGAAGAAAGAAGAAAACCTAGATACAAGCTAATGTAGGAGAAACTACAAGAACACATTCTTTCTTCAACATATGAAGAAAAGAAATAGGTAGATCCTTCTCAGAAAAGTACTCCCAAAAAAATCATAAGAAAGGCTAAGTTAGCACAAAAGTGAGCTAACTTTTTACAATTTCGCCTTACATGATGAAGGAAGACCTTATTATAATCCCTCCCATATAAAGAAATCATCTTCAACATCATTATAATTGATCATCCAATTTCTTTTCTTGCTGTAATTTCTATTGTGGAGCCACAGAAAACTACTTGAAAATTTTTGCATTTAGAAATTGACAGCAGGTTTTTATTCCTATGTGATTTATTCTGACGGTTTATGAACTGATGGGAAAACCACTATAAATTTTCCAAGCAGCCCAAAATATATCAAAAAATGCTAGAATTATCACCAATAATGATGGGTAATTTTCCAGTAGTGATCATCAGTATAGGATATCAATCGTACTGTACGAGTAGTTTCAAAAATGCAACTTCTTCCTAACTCACTAACTCACCCTTGAATATGTGTGTACAAGGTTACTTAGCATTAGGATCCATCAAAATACATAATTTACTCGAGAAAAGTAAATTATTAAAAAGATTGAAAATAAAGACTTTAATCCAAGTCTACGAAACTTTGAGTTGATCGAGATTGCAATGAACTGTGGGAACTGAAATATTAGTGAGAAGAATAAAAAAATAGATATACATAAATTTAATTATTAGGAGATAACACAGTTATAAATCTAATAATATTTATTATCATTAAAATCATAAGTCTTGGATCCATATTTGCAACACCTTATACAGGAAACTGGCTGAAGATCATTCCTTAAAAAATGGTTTGTAATTAATCATAATTATAGCTGGAATTAATTGATTGAATTATATCAATGGAAGAAGATGAAAACTCTTAATGATTTATTGATAACCTATTTTAATTGATTTAAGATTTATGGATAATAATGGTAAGATAGAAATTGTGACCAACCAGTCGATAATTATGATTAAATTAGAAACTGAGGACCAACCAGTCAATAGTTTGGGTTTAAGATATTGAAAATATCACATTAAAGTTTTAATGTCCTATCTGGCATTCATAATTACATCCATCTACATTTACATGACAACTTTAACTTGATTAATCTATTGATAGATAGAACTAATGTTAGATTGATAGAACTCGCATTAATACTAATGTGGCATGGGTATATCATACAATAAGGACATTGATAATATTTGATAAATATATTGATACAACATATTAAATAAATATGCTTACATGTCAATATTGAATATACAATTATATGTGGCAAAAGATGGATAGAAGCATGTGATAGAATCAAAAACACGAATAAACTAATATTCAATTTGAGGTTGTTTCATTGTACAACATATGCTATTAATTGATAATAATTTTAATTATTTTTATAGATTGATAACTTTTGTTGATTATTGATTATATGATTTTATTATTGATTGACATTAATTTCATATATTGCTTATTATCATAATTGATAACTTTTGATTGAAATTGATTAGAATTAAAGAAGACATATTGATTTTTTTGTTTTACATTGAATATAGTGATAAATTTTGGTTACTTGTTGAGCTATGAGCTCATTATGTGATATTTAGGTGATTTTTGGTAAGGGCAAGTAACTAGCAGAGTAGGCTAGTTAGTTAGTGATAGTTTTAGGTTTGTTTTCTTACTCTTTGGCATTATATGTTTATTTGTAGCCTGTTACTAAATAAATATATATATTTTGGGAACTTGTTACTTATGTAAATATTAATGAACAGTAATATATATAATATATATATATATATAATATAATATATATAATGCTAATCATATTGAATTATGTGAGCTCTTATGATGCTTAATCTTTGATAAGTTGCAAGAATTATGTGCTTTAAAGCCTAATCATTTTGTAAGAATTATTTTCTTGAAAGCTCTATCTCCCCTAAACACTTCTATATTAATTTCATAACTTCCTATTTTTTAACCCCATCAAAACCTTCATACTAGCCTTCCTAACCCTCCATACTAGCCTCCTAACCCATCAAAACCTCCATACTATCTTCATATTTTTTTAGCCTTTGCAGTTCGTCCATTTGTCTCACTAAGGCTTCATTTGGGACAACATTTTTTACTATTTTCTGGAAAAGCTTTTCTAGTACCAAATTTTCTTGAATATAAATTTTTGTACTAAAAACGGATTTAGAAGCATTAAGTAATGCCTTTTCAAGCGAAACCCAATATTAAAAACCGAAATAAGACTTATTTGTTACTAAGCTTCTTCAAACCCATTAGCTGGAAATTATTCCTTGGCCACTTTTCATCCATTTCACCACCAACATGTCAAAGACTTTAATGGCTTCTTAAGGTTTGGTGGACCTCCATTTAAGTCCACACCATCAATTCTCTTCAAAAAACATCTACCACATATCACATTGATTTTTTCTCATCTTCAAATATTTTAAAGAGAATGCCAGGTACTTGTGTGACGTAGCTCATCTTAGTTGATCGTTGGTTGGGAACTTTGACTAACAACAAAGAGGTCTTAGATTCAGAGCTTGCGTATGTGATGTGTGTGTCTGTCTAATTAGCCTAAATGTTCTCCTCAAAAAAAAAACAAATTTTGTGAAAATAAGTTTATGAATTTAATATGTAAATACATTAGAATTTGTGCTCGTACGTAGTACTTATTGGACAGATCATTTTATGAAATCAGAGATGAATAGTTTATCTAACTAATTAAACTAATATTTCTAACTTGTTCATGTTTACACATCCCGATCAAAATATAAAAATTATGAAAATAAAATATTATATATATATAAGTAATTTTTATTATGTTTTAAAAATCTAGACGGGTAATATTATTATAAATTAAAGTAGTTATGTGCTGATTTTTTTTTAATAATAAGTAGGCCTTCCAACATTACACAGGAAAAATCCCAATGATAATAAGAAGAAGAAAACTAATTCCTCTGTTAGCTAGGGTTATTTATATATTTATATTATTAGGTATGCTCTTATTTTTTTTTTTTAAGCAATTTGCTTTTAATAATAAAACAAGTTTAAAAAATTGTAATTTTCTATATACATTTATTTAAATTAGGTTTATCAGATCATGATTGAAGCTTGTAGTACTGATCAAGTTGCCAAGAATCTTAAAGCTTTGTTTGAGAAAGTTGTTTTAGAAATCAGTCCGAAAGTTATCACAAACAAAGCCTAAGATATTATGAAATTGCCCAAGATGATTAATGAACATGCCTCTCTCTAAGACTATTCACTCGTGGAACTTAGCTACTCATATATGATACTTGCTTAAATGACTAAGGCTTTGTCTGGGATGGTTTACTTAGTGCTTCTTAAACTGACTTTGTAGTACAAAAATTAATTTATTTATACTAGAAAGCTGCTTTAATAAACACTAATAAAGATGTCTCAAACGAAGCCTAAAAGTTCTCAACAAAAGCATTCTTTTAATATATACTCAGCATCTTATAATTTTTTCGAAGTAGTTATTTTTTGTAAAAATTGTCATACATATTTGATTGATACATCGAAAACTAGACCGATTCTACTTATGTATTCGTATAGACTTTGATTTCATTTGGACCTCTAAAGTAGCATTTTAGGATTTTTTTTTAAACAACGAAAAAATAGCCGTCAAAAGTTATTTTAAATATAACATTTATCCTTAGACCAAAATAATATCTTTATTAACACTAAAATATATCTAAAATGGTGTTTCTATACTTTCTTATCTTAAGGATTATTCTATACTTATGGTAAAATCTTGATAATTTTTACTATTAAGATTAGATCCAATAATTATTTATTTTTAAGTAATTTAAAAATAAAAAAAATAATATATTCCAAATAGAAATTTGGTGCTAATACTTTCCTCTTTGTTTTTCTTGCTATATCCTACTCTATTCTAGCAAAATTATAAGCTTTTCAGAAATAATTAATCTTTAATTTTATTTTTAAAGTTAGATAATAAAGTATACCAATTTATTTTCTAACAGCCAATAGGATGATGTGGAATCACAGCATGACACGTAGGTCAATTCTGAACAATTTTTTAAATGCTTTGCTTTTAATTGTTTATTTAATAAGTATTCATGTTAATATTATTAATTATCGCACCAAATTTCTTTACTAACTAATATTATTTACAGCTTGCGGGCATTATGATAAGATTTCATTTGAGATATTTTTTTTTATAGCTTTTTGAAATTATTTTTTAGTATTTTTTTAATTTAAAATTTTTATATTAAAAAGCTACTTTAGAAAAAATTGTCTCGAGCGAAGGCTAAGGCCCCGTTTGGGACGGCTTTTTTACTTCTTCTTAAAATTCTCAAGACCTAATTTTCTCATCAAAGAAATTGAATAAAGGCCGATTGGGATAAAAATAAAAGTTGAAATTATCATTGCATAAGCAATAAAGTTATGAAATTCATAGAGAAAAATAAATAAAAATGTACAAGGTTCAAAGTGAAAAGTTGGAGAGAAAATCAAACGATTCAAGACCCGGCCGGAGCCAGGCTCAGCTGAAGATCCAACCCGAACGAGTCATCCGATCCGGCCTGCTCTGTCGGCGAAGAAAACCGGTTCTGTGAGACAGGGCCAGCGACAGCCGGGTGGGTTTTGTGACCAGTCCCCGAGCCGCGTGGACCGTCGGCTTGAACAGGGGAAGAGAAGACGCAGCCGTGCGATACGTGTAAAGGTTGGACGGCACGTGAGAAGTAAACCCAGTTGGAGGAGTCGGGGAGGAGGTGGGGCGGGGGAGAGAAGGCGGTGACCATTGGATTAGCGCCGCGTGGATAGTTGAAGAAATCGGCGCCGTTGGCTGCTGCTGCCGCGGCAGCGGCGTGGAGCTGGGTGCGTTTGAGATGCTGCCGTTCTTTCTTATGGGCGTTTTGGTGGCCGCCGAGGGCCTGGGAGTTGGCGAAGCCGCGGAAGCAGTATTGGCACTCGTATTTTCGAGCATCCGCGGCGGCACCAACGCCGGAGGCGGTGGTCGTAGAGGAGGAGGAAGAAGAGCCGGGGTTTTGCTCTGGGAGAACAGCGGCGGGATGTTCTATTGCTGAGTCTGCGTTTTCCGGCATGGAATAACCGAATAGCTTAAGCTTGGGGTTTGCCGCGTGGCTCTGGAAACCGGACGACAACATATTCTTATTGATGAGAATCCAAGAGAGAGGGAGGGAGAGAGAGAAGGGGAAAATGGTTTGCATGTGGGATATATGAGAGTGTGTACATATATATTTATATATGATAGTTGGATAGGCTTTGATGTAGTGGTTGATATCTCAGCTATCAATTATACGATTCTATTTTTTTAAGTTTTATAAGGTTATGAGCTTAATTTATAATCCTTGTAGTGTTTTTTTTTTAAATATTGTTGTCTATTTTTATTTAATTTTTCAGCACAAAAGTATTTTTATTAAACTTAATATTTTTATATTTAACTTAATATATTTATATATGTGATGGTTGGGCATTTGTGAAATTAAAATATGGGAAAGGAAAAGTAAGGGTGATGTCGAACATTGTGGAGAAAGAAAACTATGTCATTATTCAACACTAAGAGGAATTGTAATTGGTTGAGATGGACTTGAAAAAATAAAAATTTAGTATTCTATGAGGATTTAGATTTCTTATTGTATTTGAGAAAAATAAGGCTATTCATACTAATCAATACTTATTTTTGGATGATTAATGATGGGCCTATTTAGGACAATTGCAATGTTTTATAAAGTTGATTATAATATTGTTGTGCGGAAATCAATGTAATTATTCTGATTATTAAAAAATAGTTTTTCATAACATAAATTTTTCTTAAGCAGTAAGAAAGCAATAAAAAAATAATAGCCAAATTAAATTATGATTGCTTCTAAAAAAACAAATTAGTTAAAAAGTTATTTCAAGCAGACCCTAAGGCTTTCTTTAGGAGGACTTTCTTTCTGTTTCTTAAAGCCACTTTATGAAGCAGTAAGAAAGCCATTCCAAACGAAGCCTAAGAGTTCGTTTTGGACAACTTTCTTAATGCTTTCTAAAACATTATTTTAGTTGAAAATTTTCTTAAATTAGGGTAAGACCAAAACAATGCTTTGGTACTAAGAAGTTGTTTTATAAAGCAATAAGAATGTTGTCCCAAACAAAATCTAATAATAATTCTAAAAAGCTTATTTGAAATTACTAGCTTTCAAGTAACTTTTTCGTAGTCTTTTTTTTGTCGACTAAAATGTTAATTTCTGTTGATATTAAACCAAATTAAGTTATAATTAACAGATCTTACATAGACTTAATTATAATAGTTGTGGACAAATGTATGATATTTTGTTATGAGTCCACATTCGGTAGAAGATAGAAAAAAAACAAAAAAGAAGAACAAATTATGGACATAATAGAAAGCTTGGCCTCGGTGGAGTAGAACAAATTATGGAACATTGGCGTCTTAATTAGCGGTCATAGCATTTTAAACAAGATTAAAGCACATAGCTTAGCCAAAATTATTGAAAGGCTATCGACGTAAATTTAGCAGAAAATGCCGTCGACATAGTCAACATGCTCTTAATTAGAAAATTGCATACTCTAACGGACTACGAGCTACGTACATATTAAAATAATAACAAATAAATAAATAATTTAGGCTATCGAGGCTGAATGATAACAGGTGAGTGGATGACATATTATTCTTTAAAATACTTATGAGTTGTGATTGCTTTATTTATTAAAAAACAAACTATCAAATCTGTATCTGCTTCAGTGTCATAAATAAAATCAAATCAATAAGAATTTAGCAAATCTTTTGAGAACAAATTTATTATCTTTCTCTTTAAAAAATTTGGATGATAATGTTGAATACAGAGTCACATTGACGTTAATTTTAAAACTTGGGGGATTTTAATGCTCTCTTATTTTATGATTTATTGTAGATTTTTGTGTTTGTCTGTCACTAAAATTTGGGCTGTTCATTGATTTTCATAGATTTTGTTTGAGTAAAGGTGCAATATTGTTCAAATATTTTAAGCGATCAATCCTTTGGTTCATCTAGTTTCGTTATTTTTTTTTATTTGATTAAAAATGTTTTTTTTTTTGTAATTTGATTAAAAAGAGGGATTCATATATACATGCCACTCGTCGCTCTATTGTCTCTCTGAGCTCTAGGTTCGGAGGCAATTTTGGGACGATTCTAGGGCTACGTCACGTGCGTTGGTTTGCTCTTCTCGTGGCTTTTTATCTTCGCCTTTTCCGATCGTTTGTTTTTCCTCTATGTGTTTTGTTATGTTGCTTTACTTCATTTTGAGGTTTCGTTGATTTCTGGTCCTAGGCGATGATGATCCCTTCTTCATCGAACCCGACATCTTCCTCTCTTTTTGAAGGAAAATCGAGCTCCTTTAAAGATGTTTTAGCAGGCTCTTTGTCTTCATCTCCGAATCTAAAATTTGTGAAGTCTTCCTTCAAGGGTTGTTTGGCTCTCTTGTTTGAAGACTCAGTTGTTGATCAGCTAGCTAGTGCTCCTTACGCTTTGACGCTTGTTGGTAAATTCGTGTTGACACGACCTAACCTTGATATTATATGATTTTTTTTTTTTTTAATCCTAAAACTTTCCGTATCATTTCACATTGGATTGCTTAATCAAAGACATGTTGCTATCCAACTTGCTAATGATCTTGATTATAACCGCATTTTCGCTAGGAGATCTTACTATATTCAAGCGTGTCAAATGCGGTTGCTATTTTAGATTTCTTTGTTGGTAACCCCATACCAAAGTTTTTTACTTCTACTTCTATTGTGCTTATTTCTAAAAATAATACTGTTAACAATTGGAATGACTTTAGACCAATCAGTATTTGTACTTTTTTAAATAAGTTGATCTCTAAAATTATTATGAATCATTTTACTTCTATTTTACATAGAATTATTTCTCCTAATCATATGGGTTTTGTGAAAAGCAGGGTCATTACAAATAACATTTTATTGGCTCAAGAGTTCTATCAAGATTTGGATGTTAGGGTGAGAGGAGGTAATTTAATTTTAAAGCTTGATATTGTCAAGGCCTATGATAATATTAATTGGAATTTTATTTATCTTACCTTAGAATTTTTTGGATTTAACTCTGTCTTTATCAAGCTTATTAAGAATTATATTTAAGATATTTATTTTTCTATTATTGTTAATGGTTCTAATAATGGCTTCTTCAAAGCTTCTCATGGCTTAAGACAAGGTGATCCTATTTCCCCTGCTTTTTTCATTATTGCTGCTGAATTTCTTTCTAGGGGTCTAATCAACTTGTTTGATGCTAATCCTGTTCTTTATTTTAGAACTTTGGGAGGTGTTCCCATATCTCATTTATATTTTGCGGATGATTTTAATATTTTTTTCTAATGAGACTATTAATAAAATTCAAAAGCTTATGGATTTATTTTATCAATTTGATGTGGTGAGTGGCTTATCCTTTAACAAAAACAAAAGTTGTTTCATTGCTTCCAAGAGAATTTTGAATGATCGTATCTTAGCTATTAACAATCTTACTGGCTTTACCCATGCTCACATGCCCATCAAATATCTAGGATTTCCTATTTTTAATGATAGGAGGAGATCCTTTTTGTTTGATGATCTTATTGTCTTTGTTCAAAATAAACTGTTATCATGGGAGTCCAATTTGCTTAGCTTTGGTGGTAGAGTTATTCTTATTAAAGGTGTTCTTTGTGCTTTACATGTTTATAGTTTTCAAACTATTTTTCCCACTCTTGGGGTTTGTGATAGGGTTCAGAAGCTTATTAATAATTTTTTTTTTTGGAAAGGCACTTCTCCTAGCTCTAAAATCCATTTGGCTACTTGGGATAAGTGTTGTGGTGTTTTGGCTGAAGGTGGTCTTGGGTGTAAGAACTTTAATGACCTTGCTAAGGCTTTTTCTTTTAAACTTTCGTATAATTTTCTTTCTATTGATAATCTTTGAGCTAATTTTATGATTTTTAAGTATTGTATTTATAAGCATCCTACTAATTATTTTTCTAAATAAGGTGACTCTAGAGTTTGGAAAAGGCTTTGCAAGGTTAAATGGGAGGTGGAGCCCTTTATTTCTTGGGGCCTTGGTGATGGAAATATTTTCTTTTGGCAAGATCATTGGTTAGGTGAACACTCTATTGACTCTATTTTGAATTCTTCCACTACTTCTTCGGTCATGGTTAATTCCTTTTTTAATGATAATTTGTGGGACTATGATGAGCTTTCTAATGAGATTTCTGTTTGCATCCTCCATCGTATTTTAAACTTGCCTATCAATACTGGTTCTAAAGATATTATTTTATGTGATATTTCCAAAGATGGTGGCTTTCACTTAAAGAGTGCTTGGCATACTTTTAGAGATAAAATAAATATTGATAACATTTTAAATAATATTTGGCATAAGAGCATTCCTTCTATTATTTATATTTTTGTTTGGAGAGTCTTACATAGATTTATTCCTATAGATGATAATCTTATTAAAAAAGGTTTTACCATGGCTTCCAAGTGTCAATGTTGTTTTCATATGGAGAATATGCATCATGTCTTTATATATGGTCCAATTGTTGTTACAACTTGGGTTCATTTTGATGATTTGTTTCAATTAATTTAACTCACATTCTTTTCTTAAATATATGCTTAACTCTTAGTTTATTAATGCTAAAGGTCACATTTGTAATGTTATTCCTTCCCTCATTCGTTGGTTTCTTTGGTTGGAAAGGAATCAATCCCTTTTCAATAATGTGAGAATGAGCCATCATAATGTTATTCAGAAGGTGAAGGATAAGGTTTTAGTTCTTGTGGCTATTAATCTACTTTATGTTAAGGATTTTAAAAACTATTACTTTTTTAGTACTGCTTTAGGGTTAAACATGGATGGTGCTCCTTCTATTTCTAATATTATCTATTGGAAAAAATTCGGCATTAATTTCTTTAAGTTTAATATGGATGGCCCTAGTACTGATTTAACTGGTGGTTGTGGTGGTGTTATTAGGGATAGTAATGGCTGCCTTATTGTTGCTTTTTTTAAGTCCGGTTCATAATGGTAACTATTCTACTACTATCACTATGGCCATTCTCTATTGTATTCAGTTGTGCATCCCTCTAAGCTTAACTAATTTAAATATTTAAGTTAATTCTGAGTATAATTTTCATCTTTTTCAAGATGATGAAGAAAGGTGTTTTACTCTGAATCTCTTCAATCTG